AAACAGACAAACAAAACTTTACAGATAGTCTCTCTATTGGTTTTGGATAAACTGATTTAGCTGTAAGTTTAGAGAGTTAAAAAAAAATATTGCACTCAGTTTTATATAAAGTTTCTAAATCAATCCATTTAGCCAAAGCTAGTTCTCCATTGTTCAAAAATTGAAGTTGGCCAGTCTTTTCTGTTAACCAATTGTTTCGAATAGATTTCAAGAGATGCACATATTCATACAATAAATATATACCTGATGTTGTTAACCATAGTTTATTATCAACTGTTTCAAACATTTCAAAAAACCTTTGAATTACACGGTTACCATCAGTAATTATTGCCAGTGTTTTACTATTTTCAATATTATTTATTGTATCAACAATTTGTTGACATTGAGTAAATTGAATTTCAGAAGAAAGATTTGCATCAGGTTGAGCTCTACATATAAATTCTGGACCAACAAAAAGACATTTAATCATAAATGATAAAATTGTTTTAGCTAACTTTTCAGGGTAGTTTACTGCTTGACCAAACAAAGCACCTCTTTGGTAAAGTAATGAAGCTTTAACATAAACCTCATCAATTAGTAGTATGGAAGTTCTTTTTAATGGATCTAAATTCATAAAAATACTATTTACAAAATTTAGGTCCTCCATCGAGCTTATTTTGAAGTCAATCGTGTTAAAGTCCGTATACTCGGCAACTTGCAGTCAATACATAAACGATCATATAAACTTGGTTGCATAGCAAAATACTCGTATGCTCTACATATAATATCTGGAGTATATAAACTTTACCAACTTTTCTCATAGCATTAAGGTGCTTAATGCTATGAGAAAAGTTGGTAAAGTTTAAATCAGCTCAAATAAAATATTTGACTGATGCAAACTTTCTTTATTTTTTAAAAATCTAACTGCTTCAAAAAAGCTGATTTTGTTTTTATTAACTTTAATTTGTTTACAGTTAAAGATAAAATATTACAAGTTGTGCCATTATAGCAAGCTACAAATGAATAATCATCGAAAATTTCTAAAATAAATAATGGAACACCAAGTTTGGACATTTTTGATTGTATGTGTAAACTTTTTTTAATAAGCTGGAAAACAATAACATCGTTATTATCACTTAACAAAGAATGAATATCGTCAAATATAAGTTCATCCTTTTTTAGAAATCACTTAACTCATCTGGTAGATTGTTTTGAAAACCGCTTGAAGTTACAGTTTTTATAACTTTACTTGCTGGTGTGGGTAAACAACTAGTTGGTATATTTTTAAAAACAGATGGTGGATTTAAAGGCCGATACTTCCCATATTTGCTTTTAAAAGGTGCATCATCTGGCCAATGGAGTCGACATACTGCTGTATAGTCTGAAATAGTAAAACCAGTTCTTGGGATAGCATCACTCCATCTTTTTCTCTTCTCTGGATTCTTCGGGAATTTGTAAATTGATATTTTTGTTGTAGTTGAGTAATAGTTCGACTTGCAAAGAGGTACACAGCATTTTAAAGGTATTTCAATTATTAAAATATCTATAATAATTATTAAAATATCTGTAATAAGGCCAATATTAATGTCTCGAACCTAACAACGTCTTGAAGTTGCGCTATCTAATTTATAAACCAATCAAATTTAAAAAATTTATTAAAAAAGCGCGAACGCAAAACTTTCGTCAAACGTTAAAAGAATGAAATGTAAACACAGTATTAGATATCGGCCTTCAGTTAAACAACTTAGTTGCGCGATGTAAAGGCCTGTTATATAAGAAGAATGACTTGTTAATAGTTATAGAAAGCTTGCAAAAGACTTAAGTCAATCTTGTCATCGAGTACCTTTTTCTGGACGTGTAATACGCATAAAAATCAGTTGCATACGTGGTATATAAGTATGTTGTACATATATACCTTGTTATTAATATTATTATTTTTTATTATCGATTTGTATTAAAAGTTAAGCTACATTTAAAAAAATTTTTTTAATAATATTTAACAAAAATTCAAGTATAGTTGTTTAATTTGACTATTGTAGATTTTAGCTTTATTTTCAGAGAGCGTTCGTTGTTTAGGTTTAATAGTGATTCGTTTCTGGAAACTAATTTGTTAAATAATTAGGGACCGCGATATGTAATTGAGAACTTTAAGAGTCTTGTTGTTTCAAACGGTATAATTAAAGTTGCCTGTTGCTCTTGTATTGTATTTATTTATATTATTTTTAAAAAAATGTGCTGCAAAATGTTCTGGAACTAGATTTAGTTAATATTTAAACATGAAAAGCATAATTTGAAAAATATTTATTTGAAATATATTTAGTGCGTTTATTTGTTCCAATAAGGGTTGAGCAAAAATGAGCAAATTTATTTGTGTTGTATACTAGTCTTGAAGCGTGTTATTAACGTAGATAAAATGGTTCTAATTTAGATTTTGTGGGTAGTGCCCCATGCTATATTGGCATACTTCAGGTAGCTATGTATGAATAAAAGTAGACAAGTTTTAGACTTTTTTGTGACAAAAATGGTCTTGATTTGTATATTATCTCTTCTGCGCATTATCTCTTCTGCGCATGCGATAAATTCTACACTGCAGCTGTGTAGCACGAAAGAGTTAATTAGGATAATTAAGCGTAATTTCTGGTATTCCTGAGGGAAGACTCTAGGTTCAAATGAAATCGTTAAGTTACCCTTGATGCTAACCAGCAACATCCTCCCGTATGCCATTATAGGAGCAGTAGTCGCCTATGATAGCATACTTGTGCTTTTTTTAAATAATAATAACTAGTAAAAAAGTAAAAACCGATAAAAACTCCTAGGGTTATTATTGGTCTACATCTAACAAAGAATATATCCATATCAAAATTTTTGTTTTTTGGTCTTCAGGATACTGAACAATAAAGCTTCAAAATTAAGTATGCCATCATAGGCGTTTTCCCTAATCCAGTAACATAACAACAAAGCTGACGTAAAATAGACAGCATAGCTGACTTAGCATACTCAACATAGCTTAACTTCAATTTCAAACCACCTTGGCTGACTTAAAACCAATTTATTTTTTAAATTATTATACTATTTTACATAAAAATTATATTCAAAAACCAAATTAATAATAATATTAACTGGGTTGACTCATGCAAATGCAACCTTTGATCACTGCAAACAATGTGTTAAGTCTAACATCTAAAAGTTGTTCTTGTGTTAACGTTTTTAACTATAACTATTTTTTAATTATAGTTGAAAAAATATCATAGCAATAAAAATATGTTCCAAATAAGTTAAAACAATGTCAAAGAATTTGTACGAGTATAATTACTTAATTTTAATGCAGAGAACATATGTAGTACTGGTGATAAAAGTAACGACAATATTTTTATTAACGTTCAGATGAGGTTTAAATCAGGGTAATTAATCTACGTCTGAGTTTTAAGGTAAAAAATATGTTGAAAAAAAAATATGTAGAATCTTGAAAAAAACGACTTAAATATTGAACTAATATTTTCATCAAAAAAACAAAGAAAGTTTGATGAATCCACGATCTTTTATGACTATAAGAAATAAGTATCTCTTAACGTTTTATTTAGATATATTGGTGGAATAGTTCAATACCGATTTGCACATTTCCTTATTTAGAGTTTCAGATTTAAAACAATAAGCACATACAATGCACCAGTTATTTGCACTTCACTTTTTAAATGATTTATATTCATTGTTTTGTTCCCCAGCTAAAATCATCGCAATTTTTGCAAGGCGTCCTTATTTGACTTAAGATAAACATATGAAAGTTTGACTTAAGTATAAACATATGAAAGTTTGACTTAAGTATAAACATATGAAAGTTTGACTTAAGTATAAACATATGAAAGTTTGACTTAAGTATAAACATATGAAAGTTTGACTTAAGTATAAACATATGAAAGTTTGGCTTAAGTATAAACATATGAAAGTTTGACTTAAGTATAAACATATGAAAGTTTGACTTAAGTATAAACATATGAAAGTTTGACTTAAGTATAAACATATGAAAGTTTGACTTAAGTATAAACATATGAAAGTTCGGAGTTTGCTCTATGTCTGGAAAGTAACTCTAGAAAAATGTTCCAAAAAAACGAAAAAAATCTGAAGGTGAATTGAAGCATTCATTTCAAATGAAACTAAATTGGTCTTCCCCTATGACAAAAAAAAAAATTATAAGTTATCTTAACTTGGTAGAATGTGATATAACCACACTTGTTTTCTTATAAATAGCGAAAGATGGAAAAAAATTTAACTCCTAAACTTATTCACGCTCTAAACTCCCTTATGTTTAACCCCACAATCACCATAAAAAAGGCCGAAAAAGGAGGGGTACTTGTATTTATAAGTTGTTGTATATTTAATATCTTTATCTCTCAACCAGAGCTGATCTTAGTCTTTTATCTCATAATCAGAGCTGATCTTAAATTTTTATTTCATAACCAGCGCTGATCTTTGATTTTTTTCAACCTGATAATTAAATTTAATACTACTTTATTTAGTTTTCCTAGTTCATATAATTAATTTATTTATTTTTATATTTTTAGTTTATAAAAAATATAATAATTTAATATAAATCTTTTTTTATGCTTAGGTACAAAAGACTATTTTTATTAAGTGTCAATAAAAAATGACGTGGTTTGTAGCAAAGTTAAATTTTTACTTGTATTCTCTAGAGTAACAATAATTAATTGAAGCTTTTCAAATTCTAATGTTTATAAAGTGCATTAATTTTTGTTTACAAAATCTTTTTTTTTTGATATATAAAATTGTTGGAGAATAACATTAGAATTCAAAAACTTTTTAAAAAATAGTATAATTCTATATCTTTTTATAATAAGGAGTTTTTTTAAACTTATGTTTTTAAACTTAATTTCTTTTAATTTGATTCTTTTTTAAAAAAAGAAATAGTAAAAAATTGAAGCTTTTTTATAAATAAGTTATATTAAATTTATTTTAATTGAGAGAATGAGTTTTTATAATCTAACTAACCGTGCGTTCATTTTTAGGTGTGCAACATTTTCCAGAAAATTTATTTTCGCGTAAAGAACTACTTCGTGAAACTCAACGTTTTTTAAATGATGTAAACAAGTCACCTTTAGTGTTATATGGAATGTCGGGTGTTGGAAAGACACAAATTGCAAGAAAATATTGTGAAACTTATTATAGCTTCTACAAAAACTTTGTTTGGATTGACGCAGCATTTGGAAAGTTACAAATCTCAATGAGAAACCAATGTCAAATATTAGGATTTGAAGTTCATGATATCAAAGGTAATTATTTGAATATAGAAGTGATTGTTGAAAAAGTTCACAACCATTATAAAAATGAAAAGACTTTGTATATTTTTGACAATGTCGACGATGAAAGTGTTAAAAACCTGACCATGTACATTTCAAGAAAACCGGATTCATTTACGTTGATAACCTCCCAATGGAGAACGTGGTCGAATAATGCAAATAAAATTCTAGTCGATGTTTTTACTTCAGAAGAAGCATTCGCTTATGTAAAAAATAATATTAAAGAAAACGCCGATGAAAACATAAGAAACTTAATAAAAGAACTTGGTTATCATCCGTTCGCTATTACTCAGGCAATAAAATATATAAATATACAGAGAATTTCGATAGAAAAATACGTAGAACGATATAGATTAAAACCATCAGAAATATTAGACAATAATAACTTTCCAACCGAAGAAGAACCAAAGTCTGCAATAAAAGCAATTAACTTAGTTTTAATAAAATTAGAAAAAAGTAAACCTTTTCCATTTAAAATATTAAACTGTTTATCTCATTGCGACGGTCAAAACATAAGTAAACAGTTTATAATCGAAATTTCAAAACAAATGGAAATGAACGAAGAATATGTAATAGATGAAGCCGTTGGGTTACTAATGAGTTATTCTTTACTAAACTGTTTTGATGATGAAAAATATTCAATGCACGAACTGACACAGCTGACGTGTAGATGTTTTCAAAATAGAAATTCAACTACAAATACGTATCTTAGTTTAATAAAAAATTATTTTAAATTTAAATTGAATGAAGTAAACGATCACATGGATTACGGAAACCATTTTGTTTTCCATTTTATCTATATGTTTCGGATAAACATAAAAAAATTTTCAAAAACCTTTCATAATATGACGACATCTATTGAAAAATTATTAGTATGTAAAGGTTTGTTTGAAGAAGCAATCGAAATATTAAAAAGTATTCAAAGTTTTAACACAGAAACTTATGATGAAAATAATAAATTCACGCTCGATACAAAAAATAATATCGCAAACTGTTTGTACGCTATGGGAAAATATAACAAAGCTTTAGAAATTGATTATTCTGTTGATAAAATACAAACTGAAATTTTAGGTATCAACCATCCAGATACAATGTCAACAAAAAATAATATCGCAAACTGTTTGAACGCTATGGGAAAATATAACGAAGCTTTAGAAATTTATTATTCTGTTGATAAAATACGAACTGAAATTTTAGGTATCAACCATCCAGATACAATGAGAACAAAAAATAATATCGCAGGCTGTTTGTACGATATGGGAAAATATAACGAAGCTTTAGAAATTTATTATTCTGTTGATAAAATACAAACTGAAATTTTAGGAATCAACCATCCAGATACAATGTCAACAAAAAATAATATCGCAAACTGTTTGAACGATATGGGAAAATATAACAAAGCTTTAGAAATTTATTATTCTGTTGATAAATTACGAACTGAAATTTTAGGTATCAACCATCCAGATACAATGAGAACAAAAAATAATATCGCAGGCTGTTTGTACGATATGGGAAAATATAACGAAGCTTTAGAAATTTATTATTCTGTTGATAAAATACAAACTGAAATTTTAGGAATCAACCATCCAGATACAATGTCAACAAAAAATAATATCGCAAACTGTTTGAACGATATGGGAAAATATAACAAAGCTTTAGAAATTTATTATTCTGTTGATAAATTACGAACTGAAATTTTAGGTATCAACCATCCAGATACAATGAGAACAAAAAATAATATCGCAGGCTGTTTGTACAATATGGGAAAATATAACGAAGCTTTAGAAATTCATTATTCTGTTGATAAAATACAAACTGAAATTTTAGGTATCAACCATCCAGATACAATGTCAACAAAAAATAATATCGCAATCTGTTTGAAAGCTATGGGAAAATATAACGAAGCTTTAGAAATTTATTATTCTGTTGGTAAAATACGAACTGAAATTTTAGGTATCAACCATCCAGATACAATTGGAACAAAAAATAATATCGCAAACTGTTTGAACGCTATGGGAAAATATAACGAAGCTTTAGAAATTTATTATTCTGTTGATAAAATACAAACTGATATTTTAGGTATCAACCATCCAGATACAATGTCAACAAAAAATAATATTGCAATCTGTTTGAAAGCTATGGGAAAATATAACAAAGGTTTAGAAATTTATTATTCTGTTGATAAAATACGAACTGAAATTTTAGGTATCAACCATCCAGATACAATGTCAGCAAAAAATAATATCGCAATCTGTTTGAAAGCTATGGGAAAATATAACGAAGCTTTAGAAATTCATTATTCTGTTGATAAAATACAAACTGAAATTTTAGGTATCAACCATCCAGATACAATGTCAACAAAAAATAATATCGCAAACTGTTTGAACGCTATGGGAAAATATAACGAAGCTTTAGAAATTTATTATTCTGTTGATAAAATACGAACTGAAATTTTAGATATCAACCATCCAGATACAATTGGAACAAAAAATAATATCGCAAACTGTTTGTACGCTATGGCAAAATATAACGAAGCTTTAGAAATTTATTATTCTGTTGATAAAATACGAACTGAAATTTTAGGTATCAACCATCCAGATACAATGTCAACAAAAAATAATATCGCAAACTGTTTGAACGATATGGGAAAATATAACAAAGCTTTAGAAATTCATTATTCTGTTGATAAAATACGAACTGAAATTTTAGGTATCAACCATCCAGATACAATGAGAACAAAAAATAATATCGCAAACTGTTTGAACGATATGGGAAAATATAACAAAGCTTTAAAAATTCATTATTCTGTTGATAAAATACGAACTGAAATTTTAGGTATCAACCATCCAGATACAATGAGAACAAAAAATAATATCGCAATCTGGTTGAAAGCTATGGGAAAATATAACGAAGCTTTAGAAATTTATTATTCTGTTGATAAAATACAAACTGAAATTTTAGGTATCAATCATCCTGATACAATGAGAACAAAAAATAATATTGCGGTTTGTTTGAATAATTTAGATAAAAAGCGAACGAATTGTTTAATTATTTGATTATCATTTTAATTTTATTACATATATCTGATGATGTACATGTATCTGTTGATGAAAAATTATTGAAAAACGTTTTTTATAAGGGAACGCTTTAATTCTTTTAATTCTTATAAATTTTTTTGATATTTTGGGATTCAAATAGCGCATTTTTAAATAAGAAAATTAAATTTTGTTTACTTTTTATGATATTATTATTGCGGTATTATATATATATATGTATATATATATATATATATATATATATATATATATATATATATATATATATATATATATATATATATATATATATATATATATATATATATATATATATATATATATATATATATATATATATATATATATATATATATATATATATATATATATATATATATATATATATATATATATATATATATATATATATATATATATATATATATATATGTTTATATATATATATATATTAATGATGATGATTTTATTTTTTTATTCTTATCAATTTAAATTAGGAAAACATGTTAATCAATATGTATGTATAAAATATATCATTATGTATATAATCGCTTATAATAAATACTTAACTTAACGCTGCCGCTGCTGCTGCTGCTGCTGCTCACCATTCGTGCACCTTTACACGGACTTTTTTACCATACTTGGCCTTTGAGTTTTATTATAAATTGCTTTACTTCTGAACTCGCGTAATGAGGCTCTTTCAAATCTTAATAATCTGTCAGTATCTGCTTAATCAGTAATGAGATCAAAAACTTTGTTTCATCAGCTTAATTAGTGATAAGATCAACAATTTTTATTTGATAACTTCTGTAGTAAAGGATGAACGTTGATGATTATGTTATTATTGAATTAGTAAAGTAACTTTTAAAGTCAGGTGATTTATTTAAATCATGCATTTTAGTCTTTTGTCAATTGTTTTATTAATTTATTAATTTATAAAATTAATCTGTAATTTTTAAATTAAAAGACGACTCAAGAAGACGTTGCTCATTTCAAAGGTCAAGAGGTCAAACTCTTCATAAAGTTAGTGTTTAAAACACTTGCATCTCACACGGTCAACTCAATGTTACATGTTAAAGAACAAGATCGTTTAATACCTTATTTAAAAGAAGTTATAAAAATCCGTATAAAAAACCAGATTGTTTGATAGTTTGTTTTTGAAAGTTGTTAAACATTTATTACGAGGTATTTCAAAAAACAAAAATAAGGTTGTATTTGTAAAGTTTCAAATTTATATATTTTTCTCAATTTATATATTTATCTATAATGTGTGTTATTTATATTGTGTTTTATTGTGTATATATGTGTTAAGGTTATATGGGTTTATATTTTGTAAGTGTGTAAATATATGAAATGTTTCAATGTTTGTGGTGTGTTATATGTAATATGTTTATAGTTTGTAAGTGATAATTATGTTGTTTGCATGGTTTCAAATTGTTGTGACTGGGCTTAGTTTACAGCAAGATTGTTGACCTTGCTAGCCAAGTGGTGTACTTTGCTATAATGTGACCTGGCTTTGTTGAGAGCAAAAATATTGTCCTCGCCAGCAGAGTGGTGTATTGTCATAATAAAACACATAAATTAATTCTGTTTGTAATTAGTGTATTTCTAAAATGTGTAGAAAAAATATTGTTGAAAAAATGTGTTTTAATGTTGTTATCCTCTGTTCTTAACAATGTATGCTTTTGACAATAAATAAATTTTGTTAAAAAGCAGGCTTTACTAACAGCTCCTCATTAAAATTTTTAAGAGTTTCGATTTTCTTCATTAAATATGTTTAACTCAAATTTTTTTTTTATATATAAAAGTAAGTATACAGCGTGTTGAAGCATAAGTTTTAATAACTTTTGTTAAATTTTTAGGATTTTTTGTATAGAGAATGTTTTCTTTATATTATTATTTTAATGTTTTGTATGTACACCAATATATATATATATATATATATATATATATATATATATATATATATATATATATATATATATATATATATATATATATATATATATATATATATATATATATATATATATATATATATATATATATATATATATATATATATATATATATATATATATATAGACACACACACACAATAAAATATATAGAATTAAAATGTCTATACATATATTATATGTATAGACATTTTAATTTTTTTGCCTTAAATTATTGTCCCTTTTTCTTTAGAATATTAAATATCTAAAAAAAAATTAAAATAGTAAAAGAAGTTTCAATATTTCCAAGTTTCTTCACTTGAAGCAAATATATGATTGTTTATAGAGGTTCTTTTAGTAGTTTTGTATTTATTTATTGCAAATCTTGCGTTAAATGCCTTTCAAAGTAATGAAAGGGTTTTGTTGATGGATGATAACATTTTATCCTTCCATGCTATCAGTACTTGCTGAGTTGACAGGCCTTAAATTTTTTTAATTTGCTTTATTTATGAGTTCTTATATGTAAAAAATTTGTTTTTTAAATTACATTTGTTTTTGTTTTTTGTTTTTTTTGATTAAATACTTATAATATTTTGTCAATAATTAATAACAACTACCATAAATATATAAATAATACTTAGTTGAAAATATTATATTAATTTATAACTTTAGTTTAAGTTTTTAATAAAACTATGTTATCTTAACACAATGCTATATATGGTAGAATATAATAGATTATAGTATTATGCTCAGTATTATTTGCTTACACTTTATTTTAGATAAGTTTAAAAAAGAAACTTCAACTTTTATTATATTAGACATCATTTTTACACACTCATTTGATGCCTAATTATGTCTAATAATTTAAGAAATGAAATTATTAGACTTCGTCAAAATGAAAGAAGGCAGGCTAGGCGAGCTGAGATAAACCGCCGTCGAAATGAAAGAGATGAGCCCAGGCGAGCTGAGATAAATCGTTGTCGAATTGAAAGAGATGAGTCCAGGCGAGCTGAGATAAATCGTCGTCGAATTGAAAGAGATGAGCCTCGGCAAGCTAAGATAAATCGTCGTCGAATTGAAAGAGATGAGCCCAGGCGAGCTGAGATAAATTGTAATCAAAATGAAAGAAATCAGGCTAGGCGAGAACTTAATAGGTATAATATGCATCGCATAGCAAGAGATAATATTGCTATAGAGAGTAACTACCTCAGAGAATTAAACCATAATTGTTAGTATTGCAGTGCAAAGAAGTTTTTAAATGAAACTCATTTTTTGTGCTGCCATTCAGGAAAAGTTATATTAGCTCCTCTTTCTCTTTATCCGCCATTGTTGACTGGTTTAATGACAGGAAACCATGTTGATCATGCTGTAAATCAAAATTTTTTTAAACACATAAAGAGTTATAATTCCTCTTTATCTTTTGCTTCCTTCACTGCCGAAATAGCTCCTCCCTCAATTAATGGCCCTTTCTGTTTTAGGGTCTGTGGGCAAATTTTGCATCGTGTTGGAAATTTAAGGCCTGCAGAAGGTTGTCTGTCCAATTATTGTCAGCTGTATATCTATGATCCTAATGCAGCAGTGTCATTCAGAATGAAACAACCTGGTAATGATGGTTGTATACATGAGTTAATGCAACTCTTGCAAACATTAGTTAATCAAGAAAACCCATTTGCTCTTGCATTTAAAAACATGGCAGAAGTAGAGGATGAAGAAATCCGCCAAGCAGCTTTAGAAGGTAGACCAACCTCTGTTGTAAGAATGTCTTTGCTTGAAGGTCATGATAGACGTCGATACAATCTTCCTTCCCATTAGGAAGTTGCTATTGTGTTTGTGGGAGATGATGGTGCTCCACCTGCATCCAGGGAAATTGTTATATACCCTCGTGGTCAGCCTTTAAGAACAATTTCGTCTATGTCTGCAAATTTGGATCCTTTGGTATATCCAATATTCTTCCCGAGAGGTGATGCTGGATGGCACAATCAACTAGAGCACAACCCTGACCGTGCAACCCGTGTTAGAAACCAAGTTAGTAAGTAAGTTAGTTAGTAAACTAAGTAAGTTGTTCTATTCACTTATACTTACCTTAATTTATTGATTAATTGGTTTTATTGCATTTTTAACTTTCTTTTATTTATCTCTAGCTGCTTCTTCTGTTATAAGTAAGTCACTTTTACTTAACTTATTACATTGATTGATTGTTTTTATTGCATTTTTAATTTTCTTTTTTATATTAATTTATCTCTAGCTGCTGCTTCTTCTGTTACAAGTAAGTTGTTCAATTCACTTATACTTGACTTAATTTATGGATTATTTGGTTTTATTGCATTTTTAACTTTCTTTTATTTATCTCTAGCTGCTGCTTCTTCTGTTACAAGTAAGTTGTTATATTCACCTTTACTTGACTTATTACATTGATTGATTGCTTTTATTGTAACTTTTGTTTTTTAATATAGCTACAAATGTGCTTTCCAGTTTAATTAGTTAATGTAATAAGTCAAGTATTAGTGAGTAAAATAAATAAGTTGTTGTGCTCACTTGTACTTAATTTATTACATTATTTGCTTTTATTGTTTTTTTACAGTAGATTTTTTGTAAGTATTACCTAGATAGATAGTTGGATTTATATATAATTTTTTTTTCAGGCTCGAAGTCATGGGAAGATTTCCAAAAGTATCGCTCCCAGCATCCAGGCCCTCTATCTATGAGGGCCTTCCATCGCTGGTGTTTGTATGGGGACGACCATTCCTCCTTTAGATGGAGGGATGGCACCCCATACAACACGGGGAATAGAGCGGATGCTGGGAGGAGAAGACAACGTGGCTCAAAAGTTGTCAATAATTTTTTTACATTTTAAAATCTAAAGAAATTGACAACTTTTGAGCCACTTTTTTTTTTTTGTAATTTTTTTTTGTAATATATTTTTGTAAATTTATTTTTGTGTTGTTTTTTATTTTTTCCCATGAATGTTAAATGTTATCAAAGTAAATCATTTAAATAAAGACACCTTTATCAACAATGCTCATTAACTAGAAATAAAATTCACGGTCATACATTTGATAAAGTTAATGTTAATCTCAAAGGGATTTGGTTTTCACACAATCAAATTCTATGTAGCACCTTCCAGAACTAAGAATATAAGTGTGTGGTGTTAGTAGTTTAAAATATGTATAATAAACTCAGAATAACTCAATAACCCTCAACAAAACTATGAACTTATTTTGAAATTCAAGTTGAGCTTTTTTATTTATTAATACCTCTCCTCCCAATAACTCTAATTTTCCTTAAAAAACTAATTTTTTTGTCCTTTGAAGGTGGTTCTGCTATTTAATTAATTGTTGTGATGTTTTATGCAAATAGATTTAGCTCACATTCATGTTGGTCTGTCAGGGTTATGTAAAAATAAAAAAGTAAGTTTCTTATTCGCATTTTTGAGTTTTCAAAAGTATTGATTGCATGACATGTTAATTTGTAATTAATGTGTATGATTATGCGTTTAAATAACTTTGTTCCATTTTTAGTTCCGTTTCTTATAGCTGACTTGATTATGGCTTACCTAAAGCATAATATTTATGAAACAATGATTCAATTTAAATTGTATTATAAGTAGCTCTGTTGAATAAAATTTTTTTTTGTAATTTGTACTAAAGGTTATATTTTTATTTTATATCAAGAAAAATATGTTTTTAAGTAAATATCTATATTTTTTTATTTTGGGATTTATTGTTTTAAATGGATATAAAAATCATTTTTGCTTTGTCTTTTATATTTCCTTTTATTTTATATGAATAGGAACCATTTATGCTTTAATCACCATTAGCACTCGAAGTTTCCATTTGCATTAAGTATCGATTTTTGGCACACACAACAGGTTTAATAACTTAGGCAGTAAAAACAGCTTGAATGATTTGTTAAGAGTCTTTAAAGAAACGCTTTTACGAAAACATTAAATAGATAAAGCTAACTTATTTAAAATAATAAGTCTTTAACCCGTTTTTCTATATCCAAATTTACTTTTTAAATAAATGTTGATGAAAGGGTAAAATATCGTTATAGCCTACGTTAATTTTAAATTCTTTTTAAATTAAAGGAAAGAGTTTTGATTTAAATATTTTATTAACCCTATTTAAACTTATTTAAATAGGGTTAATAAAATATTTTAAATTATATTATATATATTATATTTAAGAAATTATTAAACTAAATTAAATAAGATTTTTAGATGAAACAGTAAAAATAATTGTTTAAAATACGTGCGTGCAAATAATTCTTACAAATACTAAACGTAAAATAACGCTTACAAACACCAAAAGTATGTTTGCAGTGAATAAAGTTAAGTTCAAAGATAAATAGGAAGAAATGTTTAAAACTGTTTCAATAATAACATTTATTTTTAATTACTTTTGTTGTAAGTTGGGATGAAAAAAAAAGGTCACTGGAGTATGAACTCCCGGGTGAGATGACTATATCTGTCTAAGTGTTTCGCGTCTACCAATTAGCCCATAAACATATTTTCTATTTAGAATTTAAGATTATTTATGACGCATAAGAAGTGTAATTAAAAATTCAAAACCAAGTTTGCAACAACTGAATTTAAATAAAATCTAATTAGATGTGTATATGTTATGAACGTTAACTAAGGCGTACTTTAACGGCGTCACGTGTTGAATGTTTTAGCATTTTTCTAAGTTCGTAGTCTTTTTTACGTTTTTTCTTATTAAAATTTTTATAATCGGCATAATATTAAAATCGTTTGAAATTTTTAAAAGAACATTTTAACAGAAATGTTTTTGTCATATCAAAAAGTAAGTATAGTTTTTTATATGTACATTTTTAAACGGTTTTAAAAAAATATTGAGGTAAGGAATAAGTATAGAAAAGGTCGGTGAGGAATAGATTTACTAAGACCCTTAGTTTACGTCCGGATAGCTATAGATAAGTATAAAAATGGTCGGTTCGGTAAAGACCCGTATTTTACGGGTCTCCCCAGCTAGATTATTTTAATATCGTTTAAAAAATAATTATACTTAATAATTTGTGATCTTAATAGATTACACAATAAAATTCCAGAAATAAGCGGGAAATAAATCGATAAAGCCCTGATAAAGCGGGAAGAATCTCTATTAACCGAGTAATTAAAGATTATTTTTTGTTTTAAAAGTAGTATCATTATTTCAAGGACATTTATTTTTAATTTTAATTATTCTAAGTAAGTGTTGGAATATAATAACTAAGGTAGAACGGAATAGTTAACTTAATAATTAGGGGTTGGTTGTCAAGTGGGTTGATTATCACAAAGTTTATTTTAATAAATTCAAAACGCGATTCAAAACGAGCTTTGGATATATTTTTGTGTCAAGGTAAAGAAGGAGGCGTGAACTTCCTAGTTTAACGTTAGTTCTTGGGGCACCTAAATAACAAAAAAAAAACAAAACAAAAACAAAAAAAAAAAAACTAAATATCTAGAAAGGATTTAAAATTTTTAAATCGTGCAACAGAAACATTATTTAAGAGAGACATTTTAACAGTTATACATTTTACCAGTTATAAAAAATTCTCATGAAAATCACACTCTTTTAGGTAAATTTACAGACGTTTTTTTAACTACATATAATGGTTACTTGTAACAAAATAAATGGATAAGGTTATCGCATTTGGCTTGACTTAACGCGTTGTTTATATATATATATATATATATATATATATATATATATATATATATATATATATATATATATATATATATATATATATATATATATATATATATATATATATATATATATATATATATATATATATATATATATATATATGTATATATATATATATATATATATATATATATATATATATATATATATATATATATATATATATATATATATATATATATGTATATATATATATATATGTATATATATATATATATATATATATATATATATATATATATATATATATATATATATATATATATATATATATATATATATATATATATATATATATGAGTCGGTCCATTAATTACGCCAACAATATTTATGCAAATATTTACTTTACACTCCCTTTCTCCCTTGCCAACAACATGTCACAGTGCATAGGAACATGCTTTAAGTCCTTTTTTTATGTTTATTATCAAAAAACTCTTCCTTATTTCAAAAATGTAAAAAATAACTTTTTTCAGCAGGTGCCTAAGGAGAAATCATGTTAGACTAGTGCCTAATAATTACTGTTGTTCTAGATTGTTGTTCAAAATTTGTAAAATTCCTGAAAGGGATCATACACTAGGAGTGGGTATTAGGGGTCCAATAAGGTTAACTACAACTACTTTATCGCCTTAAAAAAAATTTCTGGCCAATGTGGTTAAATTATTATTTATATTTTGCATGTATTATATTATCATATCATATATTAGGAATTTATGTTAACCAATTGTTCAAAAAAGATTAATATTATACGTTTTACAAGCTACCCACATATTGAAAGCTACTTTAAAAGTGTTTGTAGTTGTAAGCAACAACTGCGTTTTTTAGCGCTTCAATTTAGTTTGGGCTGTGTTCTCTAGTTTTTCTCACTCGCCTAAACTGATTGAAATCTTGTGAATGGATTTGAAAGCTTGTTCGGTCCAGTAACCTAAGCGTACAGAATATAAAATGCATCAAATAAGTTTAGTCTGTTTATTGAATAATCGTCATAGTTTATGCAAGTTTAAACTTTCATAAACTGCTGCATTATTGTAATAATATTACTTTAATCTTTTGTTAAAATTAAGATTTATTTATCATACCGAAGACTCCACCTTTCGTGTCGAT